CCACAATAGATTACAGGTACGTATTCTTATGTGCACATCACAATAGATTACAGTACGTAATTCCTCATGTGCACATCACAATAGATTACAGTACGTATTCTCATGTGCACATCACAATAGATCACAGTACGTATACTTATGTGCACATCACAATAGATTACAGTACGTATTCTTATGTGCACATCACAATAGATTACAGTACGTATTCTCATGTGCACATCACAATAGATTACAGTACGTATTCTCATGTGCACATCACTACAGTACGTATTCTCATGTGCACATCACAATAGATTACAGTACGTATTCTCATGTGCACATCACAATAGATTACAGTACGTATTTTCATGTACACATCACAATAGATTACAGTACGTCATGTGATAGATTTACAGTACGTAACACATCACAATAGATTACAGTACGTATTCATGTGCACATCACAATAGATTACAGTACGATGTCACATCACATTACAGTACGTATTCTCATGTGCACATCACAATAGATTACAGTACGTATTTTCATGTGCACATCACAATAGATTACAGTACGTATTCTCATGTGCACATCACAATAGATCACAGTACGTATTCTCATGTGCACATCACAATAGATTACAGTACGTATTTCATGTCATCACAATAGATTACAGTACGTGTGCACATCACAACAGACAATAGATTACAGTATTCTCATGTGAATAGATTACAGTACATGTGCACATCACAATAGATTACAGTACGTATTTTATGTGCACATCACAATAGATTACAGTACTTTCTCATGTCACAATAGATTACAGTACGTATTCTCTGTGCACATCACAATAGATTACAGTACGTATTCTCATGTGCACATCACAATAGATTACAGTACGTATTCTCATGTGCACATCACAATAGATTACAGTACGTATTCTCGTGTGCACATCACAATAGATTACAGTACGTATTCTCATGTGCACATCACAATAGATTACAGTACGAATTCTCATGTGCACATCACAATAGATCACAGTACGTATGTGCACATCACAATAGATTACAGTACGTATTCTCATGTGCACATCACAATAGAATGCACATCACAATCATGTGATCACAATAGATTACAGTACGTATTTTCATGTGCACATCACAATAGATACAGTACGTATTCTCATGTGCACATCACACAGTACGTCTCATGTGCACATCACAATAGATTACAGTACGTATTCTCATGTGCACATCACAATAGATCACAGTACGTATTCTCATGTGCACATCACAATAGATCACAGTACGTACATGTGTATTCTCATGTGCACATCACATTCTATCAAATAAGAGTTATAAGAACATAATAAATAAAGTCTCGTGTTTACACAAGTAATTCTTTAAGATGTCCGTGTACGTAAGCAAATATGATAAGTTCGCAGTTATAGGATTTCTGTTTTTTTCTGTGTTTTAGTCATAATTATTGAAAGTTTATTCCTGCATGACCATATTTGTGCATACGGTCAGGGCAATTCTTATGTTTGCACAGTATTTTTGGATCTGCAGTTCTAGTTAAAAAAAATACAGTTTCTGTAGGGGATTTCAATACAGAGAACTGAAAGATGAAATAATGTTTTCTTTTCATTTGTGGGTGAAGTATTGCGTTCCTAATAGTTAGAGAACTAAACCTCTGTGCACCCTTGGGTAGTAGTTACATTTACACCGTCTGGGGATATTATGACATGAAAGCGTGCTTATAACTAATCTGTCTACCGGTTAATCTATCTGCTTCTGCTTCTGCCTCTCTCTTTTTCCCTACCTTCCTCCCCTCTTTCTCTCTTCTCTCTCTTCTCTTCCCTCCCTTCCTCTCTCATTCTCGTTATCCCCCTCCCTCCTCTCTCTTTCGCCCTCCCTCCCTCCCCTCTATCTCTCCTCCCTCCTCTCTTCTCTCTCTCTTTTTCCCTCAGTTCCTCTCTCATTCTCGCTCCTCCCCTCTCCCTTCCCTCTCTCTTTCGCCCTCCCTCCCTCCCCTCTATCTTCTCTTCTCCTTCTTTTCCCCTCCCATCTCTCTTATTCACATTCACTCCCCCCTCCTCCCCTCTCTCTCTCTTTCGCCCTTCCTCCCTCCTCTCTTCTCTCTCTCTCTTCTTTCCTTCCCTTCCCCCTCTCATTCTCATTCTCCCCCTCCATCCCTCTCTCTTTCGCCTCTTTCCCCCTCCCTCCCCTCTAATCTCTCCTCCTCCCCTCTATTTCTCCTCCCTCATTGTCTCTGCCTCTCCATTTCCCTCCCTTCCCCTCTCATTCTCCTCTCCCCCTCCCTTCCCTTTCTTTCTTTTTCTCCCTCCCTCCCTCCCCTCTCATTCACATTCTCCCCCTCCCTCCCTCTCTCTTTCGCCTTCCCTCCCTCCCCTCTTTCTCTCTCTCTCTCTCTCTCTCGAGGCTCGCCACGCTCACCAGAATCATAAACTCCATTAGGTGCCCGAAGGCCTGAGGTGTTCGCCCGGGCCGGCGTGTCTAGTCGAGAGCATCCTGGTTCTCCGAATTATCTCTTTCTCTTTCCTTTTTTTTTTTTTTTTTTTTTTTTTTTTTTTTTTTTTTTTTTTTTTTGGGGGGGGGGTGGCGTGTTGTTCTCCGAATTATCTCTTTCTCTTTCCATTTTTTTTTTCTGGGGGGGGGGGGGGGGCGTGTTCTCCGAATTCTCTCTTCTCTTTCCTTTTTTTTTTTTTTTTTTTTTTTTTTGGGGGGGGGGGGGGGGTGCGTGTTGTTTTATGTGGCTACTTTTTTTTGCTGTTTATTTCTGTTTCCCCGAATTATCTTTTCTCTTTCCATTTGGGGGGAGGGGGGGATGGCGTGTTGTTTTATTTAGTTATTTTTGTTGCTGTTTATTTCTGGAACGAATTATCTCTTTCTCTTTTTTTTTTTTTGGGGGGAGGGGGGGGTGGCGTGTTGTTTATTTAGTTATTTTTGTTGCTGTTTCTCCGAATTATCTCGTTTTCTTTCTCATTGAGGGGGGGGGGGATGGCGTGTTGTTTTATGTGGTTATTTTTGGTTGCTGTTTATTTCTGGTTCTTCCGAATTATCTCTTTCTCTTTCCATTTTTTTTTTTTTTTTTGGGGGGGGGGGGGGGGGGATGGCGTGTTTTTTTATGTGGTTATTTTTGTTGCTGTTTATTTCTGTTTCCCCGAATTATCTCGTTTTCTTTCTCATTGCGGGAAAGTAGTTTTTTTCTGGTTTCCTTCGAACTATCTTCCTTTTCTTTCGTAGGTAAATGGTGTTTTTTTTTATGTTTCTCCTAATTCATCTCATTCTCTTTTTAATGGAGGGAATATGGTGTGTGTTATGATTACTACTATAATTATTATATTAGCGATTATAATTAGCATTCTTATTATTACTATCATTATTATTTTCTATATAATCTTATTAAATTACATCTATCATTTTATATTATTACTATATATCATTACCGCTCTTTGTCTATTATTACCCATTATCATATATCATTATTATTATGTTTTATTACTACCTTTTACCTTACCTATGTTATTGTTATCATTTACTACTTCTTTTGATTAATGTCATCCCCTTTATCTCTACCATCCTTTTTATAATCATAATTTCTTATTTGTGTGACTTTCAATTTATCAATTTTACTTTATTTCTCGTTTTTTTTTTTTCCGCCTCGAATTTATCTTATATTTCTTCATTCTACTGAAGGGATATGGTGTCGTTATCTTATATGTTATTATTATTCCATTTTCTATTACGTCATTACGTTATCCATATTGTTCATACTATCTATTTTATTACTCACATTACTCATTACTACTCACCTACTGCTCTATTCATTATCTATTGCTATCCATATTTACTATTATTTTCATATCACTACCTACTATTCCACCTTACTCCCCATCATCTTCATTATCTCACTACTAATTATCTCATTTTTACTACCCTTATTACCATCAATTTTACCTATAATATCATTATTATCTTTCCTATCTTATTTGTCATGCCCTTAGTGGGTAGCTCCCCCGTCGTCAATGAAGTTCTCATAGATGTTCCAAGTTTTGTTTCATCATGTAATGAAAAATATTCGTATTCCTTTATTCTAGTCCTCTCTGATGCGTTATCTCTTATCTGGTACGAGAAATAAAAACATTGCGTTTTTTTCCTTTTTTTTTCTACTACCACAGACAGAGGGGGAGGAGTCAGTTGCCTATTTTAATTATAGGGATTAGATTATTCCAATAAAACACTGCATTGTGAAAAATTTAAGCTTATCGTAAATCATGATGATACTTAGGCTCTTTCCAGGAGGTAATTTAAGCTTTCTTTAGACATAGGTTTGGCAATTTGACTCCACAACAAAGCGCGTCAATGAACTATTCCTTACCCCCCATTCTATCCCCCCCCATTTTACTCAATTTAACTACTATACTATCATACAATATATGATCGTTGAATTATGACCACTAACTCTTAACAAAGAATTAAAAAAAAAACTCACTATATTATCGTACACTATATGCGGTCGTGAATTATGACACTTTATCTCTAAAAAAAAAAAAAAAAAAAAAAAAAAATTAAAATACAAAAAAAAAAAAAAAAAAAAACTCACATTCACAATACCATGGCAATTTAGAACATTTAAATTTTTCCTTTGTCATTATTACTTATTTACTCCTCACACAGGCGTCAACAACGCCAGGACCTCCGCTCCAAAAAATCAACCAAAGATAGCTTACCATTAAAAACAAAACAAAAAGTACCTTACCATAAAAAAAAAATAAAAAATAATAAAAAAATACCTTACCATTTATAAAAACATAAATAAAAAATTGCTTTACCATTAAAAACCAAAACAAAATAAAAACAATTTGCTTACATTAAAACCAATAAACAAAATTAAAAAAATTGCCTTACCATTAAAACCAAAACAAAATAAAAAATTGCTTACCATTAAAAACAAAACAACCAATAACCAAAAATAAAAATTTGCTTACCATTAAAACC